AATTTGATTAATCCCCGCCACAACTGGTACACCCATACCATGCTGCCACCTACAGCGCCCACCGTAAGCACTACCCAGGACACCGCCAACCACCGGGGTATTACGGCATCTCCATAGCCAGGCACGTAGAAAGAACCAAGCTTCCACACCAGCCAAGGCCCTATCCCCGCACGAATGAGTGTGAAGTAGACTGTGAAGAAGGGGGACATCGCCGAATAAAGTCGGGCTGCAAACCTAGATTCCGTTCTTGCGATCCTCGCAAGCGTCCACGTGTTCAGGCATGGTGAAGTTGCCTCACCTGCTGCTATTAATAGCATCACAGATATTGCTCCATGCTTTGTATACAGCCAACAAGACATCATGTACGATGACGTCATTATGTGGTGAAATATGTACAGCCAGTCATCCGGTGTGCCGACCAAAAGGTGGAGCATGTCGACTATAAAATACGCCAAGCTGAACTGCATGATGTTCACTTGCATTGGCGTGTTGGGTCCATCGAGCTTCCATGGGTAGTTCGAGAATACCTCCCGGGAGGAGAGGGAGAGCGTGACGACCCCGTGCACGAAAGAGATGCAGCAACTAGATGCCTCGAATCGACGACGACCTGTCCAACGTTTGAAAATGAAAAAAAATGCTAAAAAATAAACAAATATGAATAGCAAGAGTGAATACCCCAAAACCTCCATACTGCCAAACCCCTGAGCCCGCAACTTCACTTCTGGCTGGCGAACGCCTTCTTCCCTTCGAGACCTTTGTGAAGGCTCAAGCACAACACTCACGTCCACTGAGGTCCGCTACTCCGCACATAAGTTCATTCTGTCAATGAGAATCAAATGACACACGCAAACAAACGCACAGCCAAACACACCCCTCTCCCCCCCCCCCCCCCCACAACACACACCGACACAATCAGTTCTATGTACGTCTTTCTTTCTGTTTTCTTCTGTGCCTTCCTTGCTTGTATTTTGTTGTGTGTGTCTACCTTAGCACCTATAAGCAGTGCCAAATAGTCGGTCATTCCTCGTCTGGAGTGCCTGGGCGCTCAGTTCAGGATCTGTGATTCCTGCTGGTGATGAAGGACGTTCGTTGGCACGACTCCATGGCTCAGCAGGTGGTGGTGAGAACCAACAGTCTGTGGGGTTCACTTGTGGTGTGAGTAGCTGATGTACTGCTTTGCTCCATGTTGGATGTGTGGACTGCCCAACAGACTGTGGAGTTCGCTTGTGGTGTGAAAAGGTGATGTACTGCTTGGCTCCGTGTTGAACGTGTGGACTGCCTTGTCTATGCTCCACTACTGCCTTGCTGCGGATGCTTGCCCGTTCTTCGAAGCTGCTGTGCTTGCCGCTGTAGTTCCGCTGCATTGTTGGTGATGCCTTGTGCTTCGCTGCACTGTTGCCTTGCTGCACGTCCGCGTGCCTTGCCTTCCCGTGCACTTTGCTTGTGCGCCGTGTGTGGTGCAGCTGCTTTGGCAGTGTTGCCTTGTGCTTTGCTGTGTTGTTGCCTTGCTGCCAGTCCACTTGCGCTGCCGTTCCATGCAGTTCGCTTTGGTGTGGTGAATGGGTTGCCGGGGCAGCTTTGACTCGTACTTCGCTGAGTCGCTGCCTGCTGCTATGTTCCACTTGTGGTGTCGCCCGCTGGCCGTTCTGCTCTCAACAAGGGTCGAAGGCTTCGCAAGCCAAACAACATCAATATGTGGATTTCACAGATCGTCGAGGGTTCAGCATCCTGATGAGTCGGTGCAAGTCCGACGAAACAGTCTGTCATTATCAGGTTTTTATTTTTGCTCTTGTTCTTTGTTCTGGCAACTTGTATTTTTCTTGTCTGTTTTGTTTCTCTTGCCTTGCTGCCTTTCAAGCTCGTTGCCGCTGGAGGGCATGGACGTTTCTTCGGCACATAGGCTGGAGGGCATGGACGTTGTGGCTGCTTTGTTACCTAGTGCTGTTTGTCAGACCACCTGCACCCTCCATGCCCTCCCGCCTATGTGCCTTGCTCCTGCTTGCGATCCAAGTGCGGTTTGCCCGCCCACACGCCTCCCCCATGTCCTCCAGTCTATCTGCCTCACCTCTGCTTGGCGTCCAATGCCTGGTGGCTTCCCTGGACATTGGCTTGCTGCTCTTTAGATCGCTACTGTTTCCTTTGCTACCTAGTGCTGTTTGTCTGCCCACCCACCTCCCCCATGCCCTCCGGCCTATGTGCCTTGCTGCTGCTTGCCGTCCAATGCCTGGTTGCTTCCCTGCCCTGTGCCTTTGCCTCACTGCCTTTTGCTTTGCCAGCACACAGTATACCTGTGAAAGACAATTTCATGTGGGAACTCTGGGCAAGCACGTCCATGGATGAAAGGTCTTTGTCGTGTATGCTTGTTGCATACCGAAGCATCTTTTAATGTGTTTTCACGTACATAACACACACACACACACACACACACACACACACACACACACACACACACAGAGCATGGTACTGATAGGTTATCACCACCAGGGTGAGCTGTTGCACACCAAATTCTGCAACAGTTAAACACCCCTGCTTTGGATCAGTCACCGTCGTTGTCTCTCCATAGAGAGGAACTAACGACTCTGGAAGCCCAACAAACCTGCTCGATGCCGCTCTGTGAGGCCCCAGCCGACCATGTCATTTGCATGCCTTGTGTTGTGAGGATTTATGAAGAAGGCATAGTCCATGCATGTTTTTGTTTTTATATTCATGATGACAGTCAACATTACGGGGTTGGAATGGCAATGGCTATACAATTGTGGTCGGCGCGCCTCTGTGTTCCTAGCACGTAGGAGCCACGTAGACTGTGACATTCGATGCAGCAACTGCAACTGCGAGAATTGGATGCAGTGCCCCTTTAACAGTCCACACCCAAGCCGGTCCTGTCCGCTCTGTAGGGGTGTTCACTTACCTCAGGCATCGCCAGCTCCTCAAAACCCAAAATCTTCTGCAACCCAAACACTGACTGGCATCTTATGCCATTCTAGAGTAGTCCACTCCAGCGGCAGCTATAGAGAACCCTCTGAAGTTTGTCGTCTCTCTGTTCTCTTCTTTGCCACTCCACTTCCCTCGTCCACCCATCTCTCTCTCCCACCTCTTGTTTCCTATAAAACTCCGCCTCCCACCCGTCCCCTTGTGTACTACTAGTAAATGCATATGAAAGAGCATCATTAAGAGAACAGACCAAATACAAGCTGAAGATGGGAACAAAAATGTACAGGAGTCTAACCCCCATTTACTCAGCCTTCTATCATAACGTACGACTGTGCCAAACCACGTCAAACAGTCCCCCACTCCTTTTCTCCTCGTCAGCATCTTCTTCTTCTCCTCCTCCTCAGCATCTGCTTCTTCTTCTTCTTCTTCTTCTTCTTCTTCACTTCGTCCTCCTCCTAATCCCCCCATATCTCCAGTAGGCAGCCATAGCCACGTTGTTGTTGTTTTTTTCCCTAGTTCTTTAAGGCAGTCATAGACTTCGTTTTAGTTCTCCTTTTTCTGCCCCCATCTCTTTGATAGACAGCCATAGTCTTCCTCAGATTCGTCTTCATTTACGCCTTCACCCCACACCATAACCCGTCCAACCCCGCCCCCCTCTTCTTCTTCTCCTCCTCAGCATCTTCTTCTTCTTCATCATCATCTTCTTCTCGTCCTCAGCATCTTCATCTTCATCATCTTCTTCATCATCTTCTTCTTCTTCTTCTTCTTCTTCTTCTTCTTCTTCTTCACTTCGTCCTCCTCCTACTCCCCCCATATCTCCAGTAGGCAGCCATAGCCACGTTGTTTTTTTCCCCCTATGGGGGCAGAAGAAGGAAGTAAAACGAAGTCTATGACTGCCTTAAAGAACTAAGAAAACAAAACAACAACGTGGCTATGGCTGCCTACTGGAGATATGGGCGGAGTAGGAGGAGGATGAAGTGAAGAAGAAGAAGAAGAAGATGCTCGCGAGGAGAAGAAGATGCACCCCCAACCACCACCAGAAAACAAAATTCAGATCAACGATTTCTTTTCAGATTCTGACTGCTCTCGACGACTGCAGTCGAACCCCTATTTAAAAAAAAACAAAACAAACAGCATTGGACCTTTTTTGAGCCCAACCGGAATTCCAGTTGGAGAACCAGCGTCTAACCGGCCCAGTCGCATCCGGCGCGGTCCGGCCGGTTGCTGGCCCAACACTGCGGTAAAGTGAGCAAACAGCACCCTCTCAGGAACCGAAAACCTTTTATTTTTATTTGGACCATTTTTCCATTTACTCGTGTAATCCTTGCGCAGGGGCCATACCAATCTTCTTCGGCGTCCTGGAGGAAAGAAAAACCTAAAACACTTTCACTGCACCAGCAGTTGCCAACGCCATTGCCGCCCGTGACCGAGTGAGAAAAATTGATGTCGACCCTTCATGGGTTCGCGAGTATCTGTATTAAAACCACCAGTACTTGGCCCAGCTATCGGCCGCAGGAAAAATGTCCAGTAGAAACGTTTCCAGTCGGATGAATTTGGGCGCCTGCGAAGTGGCCCGTACGTTTCCTAAAATTGTGGCTTGTTAACAGGCACAAGTTTAGGAAGTGTTGGTGGTTTAAACGCCAGTGACCGACCGAACAAGCGAGCAAGAGAGTGTGCGCACGCGCAAATAAGAGAGAGAGAGAGAGAGAGAGAGAGAGAGAGAGAGAGAGAGAGAGAGAGTGTTACATGCCCAGTTGGGCGATGTACATATAAACCAAGGATCCGCAATGTGATAAAAAGGACTGAATGGACAATGCAGTGCAAGTGGAATCTCAACAAGCAATGTGCATTCCGATACATACAAAATGGTGCTTTATAGCGCAGGGAAGACTTAAGATACAAGTCCTGCCGGGACTGACCTCTTTCACATAGTGCAAGATAGCGAAGCAGAATGCTAGAATACTAAGGACTAGCCCGCTCCGTGTTCCAACGCAGACCAAACATACATCATGCTCATCACAAGGTGTGAAGGGGCCTGGCGCTATGCACAGGAAAGAGGCGCCAGGTCCAGACATACACAGACGAAGAGGAGGGGATCAGACGAAGAAGAGGAAGGGGGAGATGGGAAAGTCGTCAACACCAAGTCTCGTTACAAGTCCCAAATAATCCCTCTTCAATATGTCTGAAGTCCAATGTCGAGTCTGGATCCAAATGTCACCAAGCTCTCTCTCTCTCTCTCTCTCTCTCTCTCTCTCTCTTAGTAGTAGTAGTAGTCTGCTGATGCAGTGAAGTCAGATAGCGAAAGGGTGAGAAGGAGATGGTGGACTGAGAAGAGGAAGAAGAAGAACTCTCTCTCTCATGTGTCAGGTACTAACCTGTGAAGATGGCGCTGTGCTGCAGGTACCTCGAAGACGAAGCTGGAGCAACGGCGCTGAAGGTAAGTATCCATGGCCTCCGCTCAATCTCTCTCTCTCTCTAGTACTACTCTAGCTATGGCGCCCAGCGCTGAAGACTACAACTAACGCTACTAGCGCCCAGCGCTGGAGACTACTGCTAACGCTACAACTACTCCTGCAGCGCTCCTCCAGAGTGCTGCTGCCAAATCCTGAAGACTACTGACTGCCTTCTCCTGCCCGTGAAGTGCATGGGAAGTCCCTATGTACTACCTCGGCCTGCCTCCTGACTGCCTCCGACTGCCTGCAGTTGCAGGGCGGGCAGTCCAGGAGGCTGCTCTTGCCAATGCCAAACTGAGCCAGGGCCTGGAGCTGCAGCTGTTGTGGGAACAGGTCAAAAATAGCCTGTTCCTAAAACCCTGGTTTGGTGCCTGAGTTTCAGGACAGGTCGGTCTGATGAAAGACCGAAAATGGCCCTTCGTTTCAGGCTAAAAGGGCTACTGCCATTTTTAGTCTGGAACGACACAGGTTCTGTAGGCCCCTGTTTTTCAGGCTTTCGAGCTGAACAGACACGGGGCCTGTAGGCCCTGGTTTTCAGGTTTTCCCTCAGGGCCTGGAAAATGGCCCTCGTATCCAGGCGCAGCATGTAACAGAGAGAGAGAGAGAGAGAGAGAGAGAGAGAGAGAGAGAGGCTTACCACAAGAGATCAACTCCGAATATCCATGAGCAACCAATAATACCATATCCAGGTCATGGTCAGCCTGTTTTCAGCAGCTCTTCTTATGATCTCACTTCATTCTTCGTAATAGAAACGGGGAGAGAGGAGAAGTGAGGCTTATCACACGATCAAACAAGATTCTTGTTCATGGCCAACGGCTCGGCGCAGTTGGTACCCCTACGAACAGATCTCATGCAGACCCAAGTTCGAATCCAGATGCGATCATATGAACACAATAAAATAATTCTGAATTACCTGGTGGGACCAGTCGTTTCAGCAACGATATCTCAAGGGCCGTCACCCTGTTTGTACCGCCAATAGCTTTCCCCTACATCAGCAGCGACCCGTACCCACGAGTTTTGGAGTTGGGAAACGAAAAGTATGTGGCCGATGACATTTATCAAGGTGGGACCAACCCCGGGCGGGCCAGTCCCCGAAGAATGTGATAGTTATATTTCCACTTTTCCCAACACCGAACGTTAGTGGCCGTTTGAACGCAAAGAAAAGAAAGACGAGAAATAGAAACGATCCCATCCCCATCAAATTCCACAGATTTTGTCTCGTCCGTTTAGGGTAAACACTCTCTTCGCACTCCCTTTTCCACACGGAACCATCGTTGCGAATCTAGGCTTATCATGGGCCTACGCAGACCTTCAGTCGAAGGCCTGGACCATGGCATCCAGGGGCCGACCTCTCCAAAAAACCTGGACAACCTAACTGAGAGGAAAAAAACAAAAAATAGAACAGACACCTAACTGAGAGGAAAAGAACAAATCGAGATTATTAAACGAGGTCGATGCACTCGTCAAACCAAACGGACATATCGGGAGTTTCCCAGAGACAAGTCGGCGGAGGGTTGAGGCGGGTCCCAATGGCTATTGCCACCATTCAGAAAGGCTCAAGTTTGAGCTGGATTTATCAAAATTTACTATTTAGTGCATTTTTCAAAAATTATTTTATCTTCACTTCTGTTCGAAATTTTGAGGTTCGAGATTTTGCATCGATTTGCCATCTTCTTCCACATAACTTGTTCTTCACAATTTCTTGAATTTCTCTAAAGTTAGAAAATTACCCCCTGCCATTGGAGATCGCACTGAGTCCGAACAAGTCATCCAGTCAGACGGGGCCGTCCAGGCTCTCTGGACGGACATTTCTGGGTTGGTAGCCTAGCCTAGACACCAACTCAACCATTTGCATGACACTCCCCACACAAAATTCCCTGACCCAAAAGAAAACCATCAAGCGCAGAAACAGATACACACATGTCATTACCCAAAAGTCCATCGATCGATGAAATTACAGTTCACACAAGCCTAAGTTGAGAAGGCTACCTTCCAAGGCTTGTGAGCCTTTAGGAAATGTACTGGCCACTACAGGAGCGCCCAAATTCACCCGACTAGAAACGTTTCTACTTTTTTCAACAGCCTATAGCTGGGCCAAGTACTGGTGGTTTGACACCCAAAGCTATAATGACATGACCGGCCGACACACTCTTAACCATCAAGAGCAGCACTCTCCTTGTGGTAAACTGGCAGTTTAAGACCCAAACTGCTCTTCCGTCGGGTGAACTGGCGGTTTAAACCACCAGTACATGGCCCCAGCCTTGCAGAAAGTTACGTCTCCACAAGGAAATCTCGGAGGGGGCGCACGGCGTGTGGCGCTGTTGAAGAAAAAAATCCGCGGCCTCCGAAGTGGTGCGGTTTTCGTGCTGACACCCACGGGCCGATGTGCGGTGTACTGGTGCTTTAAACCACCAGTACCTACCACATTTCTAGGTAACCACCAGTACCTACCGCATTTTTTGGTGTAAATAGGCGATCCATGAATCGGGCTACCGCATGGGGTCTGTATTCATTCCCGCCAGAGGGGGCCTAAGAACCCCATAGGAATAGGTGGTTTAAACCATCAGAGTGGGCGTAAGACCCCAAGCTACAGTGACAATGTCATGAGTGGCCGACAGACAACCACCAAGAGACGGGAGGAGATGAGAAAGGCCACAAAGAGTCAGGGAGGCAAAAGGAAAGACGGAAAACAAGTGGGATCGGCGATACTAACAAGTGATCTCAACGATACCGATCTCTTGAAGATATCTCAACGATACCGCGTGCCGTATCTTGAAGATACCCGGCCTGCACGCACGAAGGTTAAACTAACATAGACTACCATGTTTACTGACTGTCTCAAAGGCTGAAGCAGAAGACGCGCTGCACATGTGTATAAATACCACCACAGCAGTCTGATTTGGTTCGGCTTTCGAATTTCTCACAGACCAAAGCAGACGAGGAAAGCCAAACCGAGAAGAAGAGGAGACGAAAAGGCACACACACCTTTTTCTTTTCTTCTGGCCAGATGGACCACGGATCAGATAAACCACTAGTACCTTTGCCGCTTGGGAAAATAGCGGGCTCGGGTAGGCATCCGACCTTTTCAGAGGCCGAAATGAGACGACGGCCGCCGATCAGATTTATCAATGGCAGTCGTCGTCGGGCCCGACCTCCGAAAATTCAGGAGTTTGGGAAAACTGCCAGTTTTCCCTATTTTCCCACGCGGGAAAGGTACTAGTGGCCAAGCAGGAACTACAGATACTACAATTCTACCTTACTTGCAGGCGGATCCCACAATGAACTTATACCAAAAAATCGGAAAAGTTCCTTACAAGTCGCTATTCGTAAAAAAGAAAACGAATCCCACACGGACCGATGCTGCAGGGCGTTTACGGCTGAGATGGACGCCGGTGGGTCCTTCGGAGAGACCCGGTTCTTCAGAGTGACCACGGGGGGCGTTCAAAATTGGGTGGACCACGGACACATAACCAGACCGCAGCGAAAAAAGAAAAATTTACTTCGCAAAAAATGCCTACTTTTAAGGGGATGGATCAGCACCACGACAAGCACAATCTTGAGAGCAGAAACAGGCGTCACAATCTTGAGAGTAGAAACAGGCGTTTTATTTTCCAAACCCTTACGGCCGGGAAACCATGTGGGATCCCAATTTTCCATCAAAAGTTCCTCTACTAACGAATGTGGGATCAGGTACTTGGCCAAAAAAAGGCCGAGAAAGACGAAAAGGCACCTACTACGAGAGAAAGGCAATTTTTCCTTGGTTTTTATTTTTGATTTTCCATGGATGCCTCACAGACCGAGGCATACGAAGAGAGACCATACCAGAGGAGGCAGAGAAACAGCATTAAACACACACACCCTATAGCGAAAGAGAGAGAAAGCCAAAGGGAGTGGATGGGCATGTTTTGATTCCTTTCTTATTTGAACTAGGGTCTCAATTTCAGCAATTCGCGGGTGTAATCAATTTCAGCACTTCACGGGTGTACCAACTGAGCTAGGCCAGACCGTATTGGGAGAGGAGAAGACGACAACACTCTTACCCAGAAGAGGGGCAGAGACGAAAAGGCACATCAGAGGGGATACAAGAGGGAATTTCTTCTTCAAAAAAAAATAAAAAAAAAGAGGGAATTTCTTCGTTTTTTAAAACCTTTCTAAAATGCCTCACAGTCCGAAGCCTCAGAAGAAACTCTGTGCCATCGGAACCAGAGAAGAAGTGGATAACCCCACACACACGCCCGATTGCGAGAGAAAAAAGGAAGGGAGGGATAGACAGAAGGGAGACGTGACACGATTCGAGTACAAGTTTTGCTCTCATGACCGTTAGGATTTGAACACGACGACAATATCACTGGCCAAGCCACATTTGACAGAAAGCACTCGGAAGCGGAAGCAAGGGCGCACCACAATAAAACCAGGTTTCAATGTCGACTTTTCAACAGACCCAAGCCACATTCCGTTGCTCATCATCGTCTCGGATTCGGGACATCGGTGGTGCCTCGGTCGATTAGACAAACAAGCAAACCCAGAGCGACAAAACGTCGGTCTTGTTGTTGTTGTTTGCTCGCGTTCGGGAATCGATCCGGCGTTGCTCAATCCGGAACGACGATGGAGTCGGACAAGACCGTACACATTCCCTCAGCCTGCCAAAATGCCTTCGGTCTTACTCTCCTTTCCCACCTCCTCCTCTTTGGTCTCCCACCTCATCCTCCTCTTTCGTCCATTGAATGAAAGATAACACTATCATTTCTTCCCGCAAGCACATCTTCACGCAAGACCAGACTCAGCGAAACTCTTTGCCGTTCCCAGAATCGCAAAACTCTCCTCTTTCCAAAAACATTAGCCTAATCCGAAATGTTGATACAAAAAGCCGCTTTTTTTCTCTGGCTGGCGGCACCCTGTGTGGCTAAGGCAAGCTTCTGACCGTGCTTCTCGCCATCTGCTTTCCTGCTAAAGAGAGGCCATCACAGCACCACAACTACGATTTCCACGAGCTTTCACTGCTTCCGGCGAACCGAATACTCTACCCTACCGTACACCCTCTCATCTTTCTATAGATATCTCGACTGGATCTCTCTCTCTCTCTCGCACACACACACACACACACACCGTATCCTGCCTCCCACACTCCTCTCTCACACACACGTCTCCCTCTCTCTCTCTCTCACACGCACACACACACGTCTCTCTCTCTCTCTCTCTCTCTCTCTCTCTCTCTCTCACACACACACACACACACGTCTCTCTCTCTCTCTCTCTCTCTCTCTCTCTCTCTCTCTC